TCCTCTATCTCTTTTTTCAGTGTCCTGTACTTTTCCGCATATAGGTCTTTTACCTCTTTCGTTAAATTTATTCCTAGGTATCTTAATTTTTTTTGAGGTGATGGCAAATGGGATTGCTTTTTTAGTTTCTCTTTCTGTACGTTTACTATTTGTGTATAAAATGCCATAGATTTTTTGGCATTAATTTTGTATCCTGCTACATTGCCAAATTCAATTATTAAGTCTAATAAATTTTTTATGGAGTCTTTAAGGTTTTCTATGTACAGTATCATGTCATCTGTAAATAAGGACAGTTTTACTTATTCTTTTACAATTTCAATACCTTTTATTTTTTCTTCTGTCTGATCATGATGGCTAGTACTTCCAGTACTATGTTGAACAGGAGTGGTGAGAGTGGGCATCCCTATCTTGTTCCTGTTCTTAGGGGAAATGGTTTTAGTTTTTGTCCATTGAGTATGATGTTGGCTGTGTGTTTGTCATATATGGCTTTTATTATGTTGAGGTATGATCCTTCTATTCCCACCTTGCTGAGAGTTTTTATCAAGAAAGCATGTTGGATTTTGTCAAATGCTTTTCCTGTATCAATTGATATGACTATGTGATTTTTATCTCTCAGTTTGTTTATGTGATGTATTACATTTATTGATTTGTAGATATTGTATCATCCTTGCATTCCTGGCTTAATCCTACTTGGTCATGGTGTATGATCTTTCTGATGTATTGCTGGATCCTATTTGCCTGAATTTTGTTGAGGATTTTGGCATATATATTCACGAGGGATATTGGCCTGTAATTCTTTTTTATTGTGTTAACTTTATCTGGTTTTGGTATTAGGATGATGCTGGCTTCATATAAAGAGCTTGGAAGTTTTCCCTCGTCTTAAATTTTTTGGAATAGTCTCAGAAGGATAGGTGTTAGTTCTTCCTTGAATGTTGGTAAAACTCCCCTGTGAAGTCATCTGGCCCTGGGCTTTTGTTTGCTGGAAGCTTTTTTTATGACTGCTTCAATTTATTCCATAATTATCAGACTATTGAGATTTTTAGAATCTTCCTGATTGAGTTTTGAAGGTTGTATTTTTCTAGAAATGTGTCCATTTCCTCCTGGTTGTCTAGTTTGTTAGAATAGAGGTATTTATAGTATTTTTTTTTTAACAATCCTTTTTATTTCTCTGGAGTCTGTTGTTATTTCGCCTCTTTCATTTCTGATTTTGCATCCTCTCTCTTTGCTTCTTGGTGAGCCTGGCTAGAGGTTCATCAATTTTGTTTATCCTTTCAAAGAACCAGTTCTTGGTTTCATTGATATTTTGTATTGTTTTTCTGGTCTCTATGTCATTCATTTCTGCTCTGATATTTATAATTTCCTTCCTTCTGCTCACTATGGCTTTTCTTATTGCTCACTTTCTAATTCTTTGAGTTGTAGAATTAGATGATTTACTACCATTTTTTCTTTTGAGGTAAGCCTGTAGAGGTATGAACTTCCCTCTCAGAACTGCTTTCATTATGTCCTGTAGCATTGTTATGTTTTTATTGTCATTAGTCTCCAGAATGTTTTTAATTTCTTCTTTGTTCTCATTGGTAACCCAATCATTGCTTAATAGCCTGCTATTCAGTAACAAGTGTTTGACTTTTTTTGGAATGTTTTTATTGTAGATCATTTCTAATATTATACCATTGTGGTTTGAGAAGATGCTTTGTATGATTTCAGTCCTCTTGGATTTGGGGAGATTTTGCTTGTGACCCAATATGTGGTCTATTTTTAAAAATGTCCCATGTGCACTTGAGAAGAACGTATAGTCCATGGCTTTGGGGTGAATTGCTCTAAAGATGTCAATTAGGTCCATCTGATCTAGTGAGTCATTTAGAATTGCTGTTTCTTTGCTGATTTTCTGTCTAGTTGATTTATCCAGTGATGTCAGTGGTGTATTAAAATCCCCTACTATGATTGTATTGATGTCGATCTCTCCCTTGATAACTTCCAGGAGTTTTGTTTTGTTGATTTTTTTTAATGTATTTGGGTGCTCCTGAATTGGGTGCATATATGTTTACCAGGTTTATATCCTCTTGTTGTATCGATTCCTTTAGTATTATGAAGTAGCCTTCCTTATCTCTTCTTATGGTCTTTACTTTGAGGTCTATTTTGTCAGATATAAGTACTGCTACCATAGCTTTTTTTTTTTTTTTTTTTTTTTTTTTTTCTTTTTTTCCATTTTCATTTGCCTGAACAGTATTTTTCCATCCTTTCACTTTCAGTCTGTGTGAGTCCCTTTTTTTCTGAGATGGGTCTCTTGTAGACAGCATATATATAGGTCATGTTTTTTTGTTTTTTTGTTTTTTTTATTCAGCCACTTGATGTCTTTTGATTAGAGCATTTAATCATTTGATTAGAGCAATTACGTTTAAAGTTATTATTGAAAGATACTTGTTTGTAGTCTTTTTAAAATTTTGTGTCACTGTTCCTTCTTACCTTTTTATTTCTTCTTCTTCTTTTTTTTTTTTTTTTCTTTTTACAGCATTCCCTTTAACATTTCTTGCATTGCTGACTTGGTAGTGATAAACTCCCTTATTATTATTATTATTATTATTATTATTTTTTTTTTTTTTTTTTTTTTTTTTTTTTTTTTTTTTTTTTTTTTTTGTGATGCTCCTGATTCCCCTTTCAATTTTGAATGATAGTCTTGCTGGATAGAGTATTCTTGGATCTAGTCCCTTGGTTTGCATCATTTTGTAAAATTTACTTCCGTTCTTTTCTAGCCTGAATTGTTTCTGTTGAGAAATCATTTGATAATTTAATGGGAGCTCCCTTGTATGTAACTTTCTGTCTCTCTCTGCAGCCTTTAAGATTCTCTCTTTGTCCGGAATATTTGCCATCATAATTATATGTGCCTTGGTGTGAGTCTTTTCAGGTTCATCCTGTTTGGGATTCTCTGTGCTTGTGTGACTTTTTTTGTTCACCACATCAGGGAAGTTATCTGACATTTTTTCAAATAGGTCTTCTAACCCTTGTTCCTCTCCCTATTGTTCTGGCACCCCTATTATTCATATGTTGCTTTGTTTCATGTTTTATCATAGCTCCCTTAGGCTCTCCTCCTGGCTTTTATTTTTTTTTCTTCAATTTCAATTCAGTTTGGCTGTGTTTTGCTTCCCTGTCTTCTAATTCGCTAATTCAGTTATCCGCTTCTCCTAGTCTACTGTTGAAACTTTCCATGGTGTTTTTTAATGCAGCTATATCACTTTTTATTTCTTCTTGATTCTTACATAAGTTGTTGATTTTTTCATCCATCTCTTCTTGATTCTTACACAAGGTGTTGATTTTTTCTTCCATCCAGTTTATGAATGCTATGACCCTTATTCTGAATTCTTTTTCTGACATATTCCAACCTCTGTTTCACTTAGCTGCTCTTCTGGTGATTCTTTCTTTTCTTTCCTTTGGGGGTATCTTTGCCTACCTATTTTTGGTCTCACCAACTGATCTAGATGTCGAGTTGTGCAGGGGCTGCTCCTTGGGTGGCAGTGGCTTCTTGGACTGCAGTTTTTCCTTGGGTGGTCATGGTAGCAGCTTTTTCTCAGTTGTCCAGCCTTTTTGTTATTTTTTATAAAGGAGTGAATTTATGGAGACCCTCATTCTTGCTGTTCTGGATCAGATTTTGTGTTGTTTTTTTTTTTTGTATTTTTTTTTAATAAGGATACCCAATTTATTAAAAAGGCTATCTTTTCTCCACTCAATTTCCTTTTTGCCTTTGTAAAAAATCAGTTGAATATGTTTGTGTAATTTATTTCTGGGGTTTATGTTCAGTGACCTATTCATCTCTATGTCAATACTACATTGTCTTAATTCATGTGGCTTTGTAATAAAATTTGAATTAAGTCAGTGTAACTCAACTTTTTTTGTTGTTTGAGTCCCAATTTCAATGTCAAGCAGTCCCTTATGTGTGCATGTCAGCAATGATATTTCAGTTCTGGATGATGGACAAATGGCGGTAATGCAGGTCCGACCCTCTTTGGTTTGGTCCTGGGCAACCTGCAGTGATGCACAGCTACTGACTGCTAGTATGGCAACGCGTTGTCAGCATCATAGGTTTATTATTGAAAACAGTTGATCATTTCAGGTCTTTCTGTTAAACTTTATTAGTTATGATCAGGAAAAGTTTTATTTTTGGCCTGATTTCCCCATCTACTGAGTCAAAACCCTTTTGGGCATTGTACCTGATGCCCCACAATTATTGAGGTTTTCCATTCCAGCTGTAAACCACCTATTTCCAGAATTGTGTGTGGGTTAGGGATTACTTACTCTAATCTTTTTGGCAATTCACCCTCTGACCTTGGGTAGCATTTCTTATAAACTTAAGCTAATCAGTATTCAACTGAGAACCAGAGGGAGGCTCTGTAGGTCAGCAAAGTGCTTGCTCCCTTCCCTCCTGCTCGCTCTGGGTGCAGGGCTGATCGATCGGTGCTCTGCCCGCACACTTGGTTCCCTGGGGTTCCCAGCTCCATTTCTTCACCCAGAGAATGTGAGGCGTGGCCTGGCCTTTCTCCTCGCAATGCCCTGGTCCAGAATCCCAGTGATTGGGAGAATTACAGGGCTCGCCTCCTTTGAGTCCCCGCTTTCTGATACTTCTATTTTTTATGTCCAGTGTCATGGACATTACTGTTTCATAAACATTGTCCATTTTTCAGTTGTTCAGGTCAGAGGGCAAGTCTAGCCCTTATACTCCATCTTGTCCTGAATCATCTCTCACCTGCTACACTTTCACCCGTTCTTAGATGACTTGCGAGGGGATGGGAGCTTACATAACTTGCTCAAGGGCACTCGGGTAGTAAGTAACACCACTGAATTTTAATATAAATCTTTCAGACTTCCAAGTTAGTGGTGTTAATCATAAGGCTGTAAATATTTCTTATGAATTATGTATTCAGTAATTGATACATTTATATGTAGATATTATATCAAGAAACATTGACAGATTTCATACAGATTTTGCTTTTCCTTTCTTCCTTCTAAAGGTAAATGTGAGGAACGTAAAGAAGAAATAATTTTAATTTCTTCTGCATATGAAATTGGAGTTCGTATATGTCCTCTTTACACAAATGAAAACAAAGGCACTATAAATTGGTATAAAAATGACAGCAACACATCTATATCTATGGAAAGGGGCTCCAGGATCCATCAGTACAGAGATAAGCTGTGGTTTGTTCCAGCTAAGGTCGAGGACTCAGGACAGTACTATTGCACCGTGAGGTAAGGAAGAAGTTACGTGTTACAGACATGTGTGCTGTGCTCCTACCATAGTTAAGACAGAAATGTCCTTTAATAATGATTGATCCACCTGTTTTGATTTATTTTAGCAATTCAACTTACTGCCTCAAGATTGAACTAACTGCAAAGTTTGTACAACATGAACCTGACTTGTGTTACAGTGCACAAACCATATACAAACAGAAACTCATCATTGCAGGAAATGGAAAACTTGTGTGTCCTTATTTGGATTATTTTAAGGATGAAAATAATAAGTTACCCAAAATAGAGTGGGATAAGGTAATGTCTTAATTATTACTTTTTAAATCTTTATTGTTGAAAGTATTATACAGGTCCTCTTTTTTCTTCATTAACCTCTTCCAGCCAGCTCCAGGCCTTTGCCCCAGGCCCTCACCACCCCATTGTCTATGCCCATTGGTCATGCATATATGAATACAAGTTCATTGTTTGATCTCTTCCCAGCCACCCTCCCTGCCTTCTCTCTGAGGTCCAATAGTTTGTTCATGCTTCTATGTATCCGGTAATGTTATATTAAATATAGTATTTTACTTTTCCAACATATGAAATAGTTTTCTTTCACAGACAATATGTTGAATCTGCAAAGTACATTTTCATTTGGCATATCATTTACTTTTGAGTAGTAAAACTTAATAGGACATATTTTTAAAAGTTGTAAGACTACATATATTTAATTTGCAACTTTACTAAAAGCTTATTTTTTGTTATTTTTCTTAAGAAGATACAGTCGAAGAAAAGTATAGTAAGAAAAGAAGTTTAAAGATAAGGCAGTATAAATTTAGGGTTTTTAAGAGATAACTATTTGTTTTTAAAAAGTATTCTTTTTTGTTTATTTGTTAATCCTCGCCCAAAGATACATTATATATATGTGTGTGTGTGTGTGTGTGTGTGTGTGTGTGTGTATGTATGTGTGTGTGTGTGTGTGTGTGTGTGTGTGTATTATTGATTTCAGAGAGGAAGGGAGCGATAGAAACATCAATGATGAGAGAGAAACATTGATCAGCTGCCTCCTGCTTGCCCCCTACTGGGGATCAAGCCTGCAACCCGGGCATGTGCCCTGACCAGGAATTGAACGGTGATCTCCTGGTTCATAGGTTCAATCCCTGAGCCACACCGGCTGGGCACCCAAGGATATTTTTTCTATAGATTTTTATAAAGAGTGGAAGAGAGGGAGGGTGAGAGAGATAAACATCAATGTGAGAACGATATATCCATTGTTGCCTTCCTCACATGCCTCAGCTGGGGCCAAGGATTGAACCTGCAACCCAAGCACATGTCCTTAACTGGGAATCAAACCTGCAGCTCTTTGGTATATGGTGCTCTAACCACTGAGTAACACAGGGCACAAAATTTATTCTTTTGTGTTTAATTAAAATATCAAGTGGTCCTCAAATAACTTCATAGTTTCTTTTATTTTAACCCTTCCCTGAGGATATGTTTTTATTGATTAGAGAGAGAGAAACATGAATAGGTTGCCTCCTATACACACCTCGATTGGGTATCCAACCCTCAGCCTGGGGATGAGCCCTGACGGAGGGTTGAAGCACTACCTTTTGGTATGTGGAGGATGCTCCAAACCACTGCGCCACCGCACCAGGGCAGCAGTGTGTAACTGCCCGAGAAGAGAGTGGCTGGCACTCCATGGACAGATCAGTTTGCTACCTTAGCTCTGCCTGCGCTGCTGGGCCTCTCTGGGAAGCGTGCTGTGCGGGGTAAGACACAATCAGTAATATCTGGGGAGAGGGAGTGAGCATTGCACACTCCAGTGGGAGCATTCTTTCCAGTGGGCTTCCCTTTATTTCCAAGTAAATTTGTTTTCAAAGTGCAAGGCTCATAGGTGTGAGTACTTAATATCCTAGGCATATAATTAGGACTTTTGCAACAAAAATCACAACATTAAAACTTGTTATGCAGGAATCTCTCTTTATCTTCCTTTCTCTATCTTTATCTATATATATATAGATAGATAGATAGATAGATATGTGTGTGTGTGTGTGTGTGTGTGTGTGCGTGAGTGTGTGTATAAATATATATTTGTATATATGTATAAGTATATATAAAACATAATATACATATTACATATGTATAACACATTTGCTGATACGGGAAAATGGAATTTTCCTCCTGGCAGATTGGAGAAAGTTATTAATTGGTTTTCAATACTCCCTGTTGCTCTATCTAGGATTGCAAACCTCTACTTCTTGACAAAGAAAACTTCATTGGGGAATCAAATAAGCTCATCATCACGAACGTGACTGAAGCGCACAAAGGGAACTACACTTGCCGCACGTCCTACGTGCTCCTGGGAAAGCGCTACCCCATCACGCGGGTGATCCAGCTCCTCACTCTCGGTGAGTCAGCTGCGGCCAGGACTCCCATCCGGAGGCCCGGAGCCGGTTCCGCCGGCACCTGCTTGCCCGGAGGAGCTGCGCCACGAGAGCTGGATGGCTTGCCAGAGTCACATGGTTTTCAAGTTTGTGCTAAATGCCCTGCGGAGGCCGAGTGCTGGTTAGACAGACAGGAGCCATGTGTCCAGCTGAGTGGGCAGGCTCCCTCTCCAGTGGCTAAAGGTGGTTCTTTCTGAGAGCCCCATAAGTCGTGTATGATAATTATTCTTACTAATTTCCTGAGCTTTCAATTTCCAATTGCTTCATATTAAAAACTATTTCACAACAAAATACACTCTTAAAAATCACCGGGGCAGGGAAGAGTGCATGAGTGTTCTGTAAGCATCCGGTTTGTCAGCGTCGGTACCACAGAGACGCTCACTCCGGGTTTGAGTGTTAAAGGGGCTCTACTGACAGCCGTGCTGGGAAACAGGACGGGAGGGCGCGCCCCGGGCAGGGACCCAGAACCAGCCGCCTGACACAGCTGAGCTTTCTTAATTCCACCGTACTTATTTCTTCAAAGTATATTATTTTGTTGAGTCAGAATTAATACCTAGCACCAGTGAATCATAACTTTCAGCAGCCACAGCCTCTCGAGCTGTGAGCAGCCTCGCTCTGGGCCTGGTGTAGCTCGGTTTGTCCTTCTGGATGTGCAGCAGGCAGCCAGCAGACAGTCTCCACCGTCCTTTCTGGTCCCTGTGTGGACATAGCGTGCTCAATCAGGGTGAGGTCACTTTTAATCTTCTAAAGAGAGATTCAGAATGATTTATTGAGCACCTACTCCGTGCCAGAACTGTCCTGGGTGTACACCGAATGAGCAAACCGAAGAGACCGTACCCTGCCTTATGGAGCTCATGCTTAAGTTCATAGTTCCCCAGGCGTGGCCACAGTTACCCCTGGAAGCCAATCTTGTTGTAAATAACAGACTGATCTCTGGAGCTACTTAATATTTTCGTCCTGTTTTAATAAACTGTGCAAAAATTCTTGACATTCTACTCGGCCATTAGTGAAGGTCCGTGTCTGAGCAGGCCCAGCGCTGCAGGCCTCTGCGGGGAGATGCTCCGCCAGGGACGCACCGCCCTGCCCGTGCGGGCTGGCTCTGGGGAGCCTGTGTCTGCGGGCGGCCTGCACCGCCGTGGTTCTGTGGAGCCCGAGCTGCTGGGCTCAGAGGGGCAGGCTCCGGAGCGGGTTGTTGTGATTTGGCTGGGGCCTCTTCCACTTCTTGCCTCTGTCTCCTGATGTAAACGTGTCTGGCACTGAGGGAATATCTTCCAGGTGCCATGTATAGTTCGATGTACTTGCCAAGTGTTGTTATCATTTGAGACTCTGGTCTGTGCGAGACTTAGAGCCTATGGGTGTTCATTTCAGAGGAGAAGAGGCCCCAGAGCCCTGAGATTGTGAGTCCGGTGAACGAGACGATGGAAGTGGTCCCGGGTAAGTAGCCTCCAATCAGGACAGGCTGCAGCATTTATTCTGAATTCAAGAGAAGATAAATTTACCTTTACTACACAGAGCCTACGCGGTTTACTGGACATGTCTATAATTGGAGAGAAAGTGGCATAGGCTGTATATTAAATGTTCCTCTGGATTTATTGCCCATTGTAGTACAAATCGAACCACATCTGGTTTGGCTGTCCTTACCTTCCTGTGGAGACTTTTACTCATGAGAACACAGCCGAAGGCCAACCTCACAGGCAGAGGGTGAGATGTGCCTTCTGCGCAGTGTGTCTCTGACACCGGAGTAAGCCTTTAGGCAGGAGAGCTAGACTGCAGGCAAAAGGATGTCGTTCTAGGAAATCATTTCACAAGGCAGTCAACTTGTACATTGTTTATTTTAAGAATAAAGAAATCTTATAAGCATCCAGCCCTGCCCTGTACAGTGCAATAGGCACTAGCCACATGTAGTTATGCATATGTGAATTTAAATTAAGTAAGTTAATTTAGTTCTATTGAATATTATTTTCTCAGTCTAGAGCTTAATAGCCACATGTGACCAGTGACTTCAGGATTAACACATATTGAGCACATTTTCACCATCACTGAACATTCCATTAGAAACCGCTGGTCTAAGTGCAAAGACAGGTTTTGGTACCAGAGGATCAAAAATCAAGTTAGTGTAAAGACTCCTCTTCTGTAATAGGAACAGAAAGAAGACAAGGATTCAAAAGGAAGAGTTATGACCTATGGATTCTGTTGATTTGTTATTCATGATGTACGTTAATACAAAGAAATTCTTAGCTATAAACGGACAAGCATGTATAACTCACAATTACATACGGGCCTATAGAGGCGGACACAGTACTTCCAGGCCTTTTTCATTGCCCCTTTGGGAGCCTAAAGAGGCATTTCCCTCCAGCACCACTCCTCTCAGAACTGAACATCACAGATGTGTCTGTCCGTGCACTATGGCCCTTTGAGGGCCACAAACCCTTGCAACAGCTAAGCCTTTCTTGGTATTATATGCCCCAAATAAAATAAACATGGATATTTTCCTGATTTGATGGTAGAGGTGGATTTTAGGGGGAAAAAAATAAACATGGATATTTTCCTAATTTGATGGTAGAGGTGGATTTTAGGGGGAAAAAATAGTGAAAACAGATAAACAGTTATAAATTTGACCAAACAAAAAAATAACAAAATCTTTACCAAAGGATTTCCATAAACAAAAATGAGATGAAAGCAAGGAACACCGAGGGTTTTTGGAGTAGTTCCATGTGTGATAGAGATGTTGCAATGGTGCCAGTAAGTCACGGGCAATAGGGATAACCAGCAGTTCTTAAAGGCAAATGAGCACTAAGCTTATAAAAATGTGTCAATTCACCATTAATTCAAGAAATACAGGCAGAGATGTGAGTGTCGGCACTGACTTGGGGGGTAGGGGGGGAGCCTGGGGTGGATGCACGGCTCCCTGCTGGGTGAGTGGGAAGTGCAGTCTTGGGTGGGTGAGAGGGGCTGGTTTAGAGAGTGTACAATATTGAAGTACAAGACCACTATGCTCATTGGAATAGTAATCACAGTAATAAAAATTAGGAACAGATGGTCCTTAGCACCAGGGAAATGATTGGCATGTTCGGTCTGACTGTGCAGTGCTGAGCAGCCACAGAGGAGCCTATTCTGGAAGGCTAATCGTGTGAGCCAACATTGCCAGCACAGTAATAGTTACAAATAGTGATAATACCCCATTTAGTAATCACATGTGTAACAGAGAAAGTAAGGAATGAGATACGTAACGTTGCTAATAGTGGTTATTTCTAGGTGGGAAGTGGAAGGGTGATTTTTCTTTTTCTTTGTGCTTTCCTATAATTTAAAATTCTTATCCAGTAGGCATTTGTTAATATGTATAAATGGATCACATAAAAATTCATTAATGTTAGGCTTTAAAATACACTGCTTCACAGGATCCCAGCTACAGTTGGTGTGCAATGTCACCAGCCATTACATTAACAATGTCTACTGGAAGTGGAAAGGGTCGCTAATTGATGATGAAGACCCAGTGCTGGTACAAGACTACATACAGTAAGTATGCTGAGTGCCAGCCACAGCAGAGACATTTTGATGTTAAATTGCACATCATACTTTTACATTCTTGATGGTTTAACCTAATAGCAAAAGTTACTTGGCAGTTGATTGGTTCTTAACACTTTGCCATCCATATTGAGTTTTGTAAAGCTAAACAGGACTTACAAGAGCTTGCACATCTACAATAATAAAAGAGAAAGATGCAAATTGACCATACTTCTGTGACACCCACCATCCAATCAGGAGTGGGTATGCAAATTAGCCTGACAAATATGGCAGGTTAGTTTGCATAGGCAGGCATCAAGCAGCCAGGGGCAGGGTGGTGCCAAGCGGCCTGGGTCCCAGTGATGGGTGCCAAGCACACAGCCTCCTCATACTATTGCTGGCCCTGGGAGGCAAGGGCAGCCTTGCCAAGCCACACCTTTAGGCTCCCAGGACCATCAGCGGCTGTGCAGCTGACAGCAGACAGTGGGGCCTGCTTGGCTGTAGCTGTGGCAACCTGTGAGCAGGCAAGTGGACCTGCAGACAGCACCCAGCTGGGCCTGCTTGCCCATTGCCATGGTGTGGAGCAGGCAGGCCCCGCAGGGAGCTGAGAACCATGGGGAATGGGCCTAATCCATCAGGAGGGCATTCCCTGAGGGCTCTCCTGGATTGGAGAGGGTGCAGGTCTGTCGGGCTGAGGGACTCCCCCTCCCCCATGCACAAATTTCATGTACTGGGCCTCTATTTTAATTAAAAATTCATGTCATCGTGGTGCAAATTCAGGACCACTTGGAAGGCTTTCTGTTATATTAGTTACATATGTTGCAACATTCTGGTGAAGCAATCTTCATGTTATTCCACTTTTTATTAAGTAATCTAAAAAGGACGCATAACATGGGGCCGAGAATCATGCCCTCCACTTCCCAAGTCCCAGGGGCTCCTTAACCTCTCTAGGGATAAACTCCTGACTCCTTAGCATCACCTTCAGACCCTTTGCCATCTGCCTGCTCTACTCTTGTTCATATGTTCTTTTCTGTGCCACATGGAGACAAAATGCATATGTTCATATTTTTTTTTTGGAAGCTGGTGATTTTTATTCATTTCTATTGATTTCTCTCCTACTGAGTCTTTTTTTTTAATTTAAAAAAATACATTTTATTGATTTTTCACAGAAAGGAAGGGAGAGAGATAGAGAGCTAGAAATGTCGATGAGAGAGAAACATTGACCAGCTGCCTCTTGCACACCCACTACTGGGGATGTGCCCACAACCAATGTGCATGCCCCTGACCAGAATCAAACCTGGGACCTCCCAGTCCGCAGACCGACACTCTGAGCCAAACCGGTTTCGGTGTTTCCTACTGAGTCTTTTAACAGTAGTGAACTTAGGTTCACAACATCTCGATCATTGTTTCTAACAACCTGATTGTTATACCTGTGGGTAGGCTGGTGATTGTTTCTGCCGTAATTTATGCAACAAATAAAGAGAAAAACAATGCATGTGTCTTATTTGTTGTTAATGCAGTTTACTTAAAACAACTTCTTTCTTTCTTTCTCTCTCTCTCTCTCTCTTGAACAGAGTGGAAAATCCTTCATCCAAAAACGCGAATACAGTCATCCTAATGCTTAATATTTTAAAAGTGAAAAGTGAATTTTATCTATATCCATTTACCTGCATAGCCAAGAATAAATATGGTATAAACTCAGCATATGTCCAATTCATACACCCAGGTAAACAATAAAACTGTTTATTGGAAATGCGCTTTTATGTTACCAGGGTAGGGTTCTGTGACCTGGGGGTCTGCAATGCCATTCCCTCTGCCCAGAATGCTCTGGGATTCCTGTTAACCTGGATAACATCGTCCTTCTTCCACTTCTCAGCTGAACTGTTTCTTTGCCAGGGAGCCTTTCTGTCCTGTTCTCTGCCAAAACAGAGGAGGTCAGGGCGCTAGCACTCTGTGTGTGTGTGTGTGTGTGTGTGTGTGTGTGTGTGTGTGTCCCCGCCGCCACAGGAGTTGTCATACTTGGTTTTCTTTACTTGGCTGTAAATTCTGCAGTGCTGCAGACCATTTATCTTCCTAACTATTCTATCTCCAGGACTAGTAGCAATTTCAGTCTGGTTGTGGTAGGTATCTGATGCATATTTTAGGTGAATGATGAATGTGCAGGGGAAGTTTAAAGGTTTAAAAAAATTTTTTTTATTGATTTCAGAGAGGAAAAGAGAGATAGAAACATCAATAATTAGAGAGAATCATCGATTGGCTGCTTCCTGCATTGCCTTCCCTCCCCCAGCCCTGCTACTGGGGATCAAGCCCACAATCCGGGCATGTGCTCTTGACCCAAATCAAACCCAGATCCTTCAGTCCATAGGCCAATGCTCTATTCACTAAACCTAAACAACCAACTATAGGGGAAGTTTAAATATCCACTTTCCAGAGAGTCAGAAGTTATTGATTTTCATGAGTTGTATAATCTTAAGACACAGTATTGAGATTAATTTGTGAAATAACTTAAGATTATTTGTAGTTAAAATAGGGTATTTATGAATGTGTACATGCAAGAAATTCTGAACAGACAAACCATTAGACTTAATAAATTTAGCAAGATAACTAATCTCTATATGTGTAGTATTTCTATGTATATCTATAAATACCAACAACAAACCAATAAAATTAATTTAAAAGATATCATTTATAGTAGCATCAAAAATTATCAAAGACAGGAATAAGCTAGCAAAAGCGGTTCAAGAGCTCTGTAATACAAACTAAAGAAACAATAATATTATTGAGTAAATTGGAGAATATCTCAATAGATGGAGGAATATACAATGTTCATGGGTTGAGACTCAATATTATAAAGACGTTAGTTGTCCCCAAGTGAATTTATAGATTAAAAAACATCCCACTCAAAATCTCAGCACTGTCTGTGCAAGTATGGGTGTGTGTGTGTGTGTGTTGTGGACAGGCTTATTCTAAAAGTCATATGGAAATCTAGAGTCAAGAACAGTCAAGATGGTCTTAAATAAAAATGACAAGTGTATAATATTTATACTATAGATACCATGATCTTGTATGAAGTTAAAGTTGTGAAGATTGTAAATATAACCAATCAAATGAACCAATTGGCTATTGGTCTAGAAAATGGTATATCTTGATTTCTACTTTCTACCCAAATCAATTGCAGATGGGTCAAAGACATAAATTGAAAAAGTAAAATAAGAGAGCTTTTAGGTTCTCTTTTTCTTTTAAAGAATATGTTTTGTTTTGTTTTTGTCTTTTTAGTGAGAGAGGAAGGAAGAGGGAGAATGAGATAGAAACAACGAGAGAGAACACTGATTGGCTGCTTCCTGTATGCACCCCTCACCAAGGCTGCAACCTAGGCATGTGCCCTGACTGGGAATTGTACTGATGGCCTCTTGGTGCATGAGTTGATGCTCAACCACTGAGCCCATTGTCTGGGCAGGTTCTTTTTCTTGATGCCTACATATCCCTGACATTTATTTATTTATTTTTTATTTTTTTTAAATCTTTATTGTTGAGAGTATTACAGATACCCCCTTGCACTGCCCTCCTCCCCCATTGCCTCAGCTCACACCCCACTCCAGGCCTTCACCACCCTTTTGTCTGTGTCTATAGGTAATACATACATGCATATAAGATCTTTGGTTAATCTCTTTCTGTCCCCCTTCCCTCTGAGATTCATTCATCAGTCTATTCCATGTTTCCATGCCTCTAGTTCTATTTTATTCATCAGTCTATTTTGTTTATTAGATTCCTTGTTATGTACTTTGACTTTTAGATTTAATTGTTGATACATATGTATTTGTTGCCATCTTATTGTTCATATTCTTCTTTCCTTCTCCTCCTCTTCCTCCTTCTCCTTCTTCCTTTTTCTCTTCCTCTTCTTAAAGAATGCCCTTCAGCATTTCATATAATACTGGTTTGGTGGTGATGAATTCCTTTAGCTTTTTCTTGTCTGTGAAGCTCTTTATCTGATCCTCAATTCTAAATGATAGTATTTCTGGGTAGACTAATCTTGGTTGTAGGTCCTTACTGTTCATCACTTTGAATATTTCTTGCCACTTTCTTCTGGCCTGCAGAGTTTCTGTTGAGAAATTAGCTGATAGTCATATGGGTGCTCTCTTGTTGGTAATTAACTGCTTTTCTCTTGCTGCTTTTAAGGTTTTCTCTTTGTCTTTAACCCTTGATATTCTAATTATGATGTGTCTTCGTCTGGGACTCTTTGGTATCTCTTTATTGGGACTCTGTGCTTCTTGAACTTCCAAGTCTGTTTCTTTCACCAGGTAGGGAAGTTTTCTGTCATTATTTCTTCAAATAGGTTTTCAATATCTTTGTCTCTCTCTTCTCTCTCTGGCACCCCATAATGTGAATAATGATACTCTTGAAGTTGTCTCAGAGACTCCTTACACTATCTTCATATTTTTTAGATTCTTTTTTGTTGTTGTTGCTGTTGTTCATATTGGGTGTTTTTTGCCTCCTCATATTCCAAATCATTGATTAGACTATCAGAATAATCTAATCTACTATTGAATCTCTGTAAGTTATTATTTATTTTAGTTAGTGTGTGCTTCATTTCTTTTTTTAATGTTAAAATATTTATTTATAAAAAATACAATGGGATAAGTTTATGCTGAGAAATTCAGCAATAAATACAGTTGAAAAGAGAGCAAGTCTACACCAATACACTGGCACAATAGGAGAGCACATGCACCACCCAGACCCACATGCCTGCGGGCCCACTGTACACACTCCCTGAGAAATGCCACTCGGAAAAGGTCTCCCACTCAGGCGAGAGAATGAGGACTTATATCATCACCAATGCATTCAGATCATTAGCAAGCAATACTGTAGAAACATCAATCTGTGAACGACTAAAATGCTGCATCTTCAGTTTAGTTGGCGGACACCACCTTTAGTTTAATTTCTGACTGGTCCTTTTTTATGTCTTTGATGTTCTCACAAAGGTTCTTGAAAGTCTCACTGTGCTCCTTGAATCTATCATTAAGGTCCTTAAGCAACCTTATAACCATTGTTTTGAATTCTGTATTTAGTAGTTTGCATGCTTTCACTTCATTTATTTCTTTTTCTGGAGATTTCTTCTGTTCTCTCATTTGTAACATGTTCCTTTGTCTCTGCATTTTGACTGCTCCTCTGTGTTTGTTTCTATGTATTAGATAAAGCTGCTATGTGTCCTGGAATTGGTAAAGTGGCCCTGTGTAGTATGTGTCCTGTAGGGCCCAATGGCTCAGCCTTTCCAGGCACCTGAGCTGGACACTCTAGGTGCACCCCTGTGTGGACTGAGTGCACAGTCTTTTGTAGTTGAACCTTGATTGCTGTTGGCATGACCGGGAGGAATTGGTCTCTAGGCCAATTGGCTGAGGACCAGCTGTGACTACAGTGGGAGAGCTGTTGTGCAGGCAGCACCCCTGTGAAGCAGACTTGCTTCAGTGGGGCTTTGGTGCACACTGAGTATGTGTAGAGTTGTAATCTAGTTTGGTCTGAACCTGTCCACCAGGTGTACAGGCTCTGGGCCTTCCCAGGAGGTGCAAAGTTAGTCACTGCCTGGGGCCACTGGATAGGAGCTACAGAGATATCTGCAGATGGCTGCTACTTGGATTTGACTTGGAAGTGCCCAGGAGAGGTCAAGCTGTGAAGCAAGGAAGTCTTGGGCCTCTTATTGATAGGTTTGGGGCATGTTGATGCCAGATGCTGCTTGTTTAAGAGATTTTAGGAAAATCTGAAGCCAGAGCCAGGATAGGCCATTCATATGAAAAAGTCACTGCAAATAGTTTGGGTGGCACTGCACATTGGATGGGGTGGGGTCTCAGAATCACCAGGGCAGAGCTAACAGTGTGAGCCTGACTGATGGAAATGAAGATATGGCTGCCAGTCAGTTTTGCAATGGGGAAGGTCCCAGCCTAGGAACAATGGCCTGTCTGGAAGAAAACTGCCCCTGAATTTCCAATCCAGTTCCTCTCTGAATGTCCCAGGTTCCTTTCAAGCTGCTGCTCTGGTGATGGAGCTCAGAGAAATCAAGTCTGAGTAAGTTTGTGCTCTGGCCCTTTAAGAAGAACATGTGGGTCTCCAGCTGCCTATGAGTCACTCAGCCACAATTCCCACTGGTTTTACAACCTGAAGTTACAGGGACTTCTCCTCCCAGCTCTGTAACCCTGGGCTGCGGGTCTGGTGTGGGGCTGGGACCCCTTGATCCTCATGAGAGGCCTCCACAGAGATGATCTCCCTCCCGATTAAAACGCCACACATGGGCGTTGTTGGACCAGCCCATTCCATGTCTGCACCCCTCCTACCATCTCAGTGTACTTTCATATTTACTTCTCTCGTTGTAGGACTTCTAGTCAGCCACGTTTCAGGCAGTTCTGAATGATGGTGGTTCTGTATTTTAGTTGTAGTCTCAATGTTATTGTCCAAGGTGGTGAGTACCAGTGTTTACCTATACCACCCTCTTGGTTCTCCTCCGGACTGCTGACATTTGTATGTCCCTTTCTTGTTTCTTCTTCTCTACCCTCTTCTCCTTATCTTTCTTTCACCTTCTTCCTGTTCCCCACCCCCACCCGGTAATCAATCATTGGATGAATAATTAGCCCGTGAAGCCTGGAGAACATCAAAGTGTTAAGCATTCTATGTGACATCCCCAACCCTCTCTTTCCCCCTAGCCTTCACCTTTCCCACCTGACGCTTCTACCTCTAGGAACTTTTGCTGGCTTTTGAATAACTTAGACTTTTTTTTTTTTTTTTTTTTTACTATAGAGTGCTCTAGACCTTGGTCTTTGTTATTTTTCTATGAGATTGTATACTATATTACTTAGGTGAACATTTAGTACAATGCACTGTAGTTTTTCTACATGGTATCCATTCTAGATGTCTTTGTATTCGATACATTAATACCCATTACTAAGTGATAATGGATGAATTAATACTATCTGAGATTTGGGATTATAGCTAGTCCCAAATATGGTTTCTCTGGGATAGAGATGTTTAATTTGTTGTGCTCAAATTTTTAATTCTTTTGGTTCTAATAAAAGTTTTGTCTCTTTTCTGCTTTAGTCCCCAATTTCCAGAAGCTCATAATTGGCATATTTGTCATGTTAACAGTAGTGATTACGAGCGTTGTTTTCATCTATAAAATCTTCAAGGTTGACATTGTACTTTGGTACAGGGATTCTTGCTATGATTTTTTCCCGAAAAAAGGTACAATTTTTATTTTATGCAACATTGTCTTGTTTAAGAGAGGGGATAGTTAAGAGATATATAAGATAACTAAGAGGGCTTTTACTTAAATTTTAAAATGAAATGTAACATATAAAAATACTAGTTATTCTTATATATATAATTATAGTTTCATAACTGAACAGACTGACATTGTTTTCCAAGTTACTGCTCTAGGCTGATAGTGGTGGGTAAGTGGCATTTAGAGCATTTTCAAAAGCCCAGTTATTGAGGACCTGCTCTGTGCTGGCAGAAGACAGGTCAACCAAGATTTGCTATCAAATCAAAGAAAGGACTCAATTTTCATGCGTGCACTCTCTCTTTTGTTTAAATCTTGCAAAAAAAATGAATGCTGCCACAATGCATAGAAGGGAAAATGGTAGAACAGGGCACTGTGGCGTGGAGAGGGACATGCGGACTGGAGGCCCCTGTGCAGAGGTGGAGGGCGCTGCATGTGGTGCAGTCAGTGACATCAGAACAGCTTTGCAGTAAATGTGACAGAGACAGGTGTGGGCACAGCACTCGGAAAGGTGTGCTGCGCTTTGTATTGAAACTTCATTCTTGCCATCGTACGGAAGAATCGTTCATTCTGAAGTACATGTGTGCATTATCGACTTTTCCAAGCCTCGTATTTTTCCTTGTGGTTCTAAAATGTCGCATTTCCCCTTCAGCTTCGGACAGAAAGACCTACGATGCGTACATCCTGTATCCGAAGACCCTTGGGGATGGGGCCACCTCTCACTTGGATGCTTTTGTGTTTAGGATCTTGCCTGAGGTCTTAGAGAAACAGTGTGGCTACAAGCTGTTCATTTACGGAAGGGATGACTACCCTGGGGAAGGTATGAGTGTAAAGGGAAAAGTAAAAGTCTCGTCTTGAAACTAATTTATTAGTTAATTGGTTTAATTAAATTGGTGTTCATCTTTCTGGGCGACTGGCATAGGCCCACGTGTTTGACAATTTTAAGACCCTCTTCAGTGGTGCGTAATGATGATTTTCACACTATTTAATGCAAAGCATTTACTTTTCTCATATTTTGTTGAAGCAACGATTAAGTAAATTGTATTTCGTTTTGGGAAACGTAATTGCTAGTTAGATCTGAAAAATCTGAAAATTGCTTTACAGCCGATATAATAAAATAAAAGAGAAACAGGACAACCGGATTAACAACAGAGTTTAAACTTCTACTGGAAGTGCTCTGAGTCCTAAGAGGATGCTCAGCTCCTGGGGCCAGTGTGCGAGCTGGTCTCTCAGCGGGACCCTCCTTTAGCCCTTAAGTAGGCCCCGAGGGTCAGCGGACAGGGGGCGGGTTTTTCTGGGGTTGAGTTTTGGAGAGAATGATTGTAAACAGACTGCGCTTACCATGCCGCTTCCTGTTTCTTAGACGTTGCTGAGGTCACGAATGAAAACATAAGGAAGAGCAGAAGGCTCATTATTGTTTTGGTCCGAGAAACATCGGGATTCAGCTGGCTGGGGAGTATGTCCGAAGAGCAAATCGGGCTGTACAACGCCCTCATTCAGGATGGGGTCAAGGTCATCCTGCTGGAGCTGGAGAAGATCCAGGACTACGAGAAAATGCCCGAGTCCATCCAGTTCCTCAGGCGGAAGCAGGGGGCCATCCGCTGGTCCGGGGACTGGACGGCGGGGAGGCCCCAGTCCGCAAAGACAAGGTTCTGGAAGCAGGTCCGGTACCACATGCCCGTGCAGCAGCCGCTGCGGCCCCGCGCAGGCCGGCCCCAGGGAGAGCCCGGGGTGCCGGGCTGCCCGGCGCCTTGCTGATGCGCACAGAGCCCTCGCGTGGCCCTGCACCGGGCCGGGAGCCGGGTTGTTGGGGAGCAGGTGGGTGGCCACAGCAGAGAGGGGAAGGCCTTGCCCGGCCTCGCTGCCCTCGGACGTGAGTTGCCGAGAAAAGGCCCTGGGAGCGAGCAGCCCACAGCGCGCTGAGCAAACACCAGCCACTGAGATGGACGCCGCCGCCATCGGCTCAGGGACTGTGCCAGGCTAGGGATGGCCGGGCCCTCGATGCAGGGGGTGGGGAGACGAGTGGGAGAGCCGCCCACGGGCTGCGTGTCCATGCACGCCCGCCAGCAGCAGCTTGAGCCTGAGCTTTGCCGTTCAGACTGTAACGCTGCCATTGCAGCCACAGGCCGGAGAGTCCACGGCCAGAGTTGCAGGAGGGACTTCTGTGGTGCCCGGTGGCCATTCTGTCCACCCTCCGCATGCCACGGCTCTTTTCTTCCTCCTCCACGGGGCCACACAGACCCACAGGTCAGCTGCCCCTCAGCGCTGCTCTCCCCCAGCCTGCGGCGAGGAGCAGAGCTGGTGCCCGGCGCCCACTGCCTGGCCCGCGGGGCTGGTCCAGCCGCGGCCCCAGGCCGGGCAGCGCTGTGAGCGCCGGCTGCTTCCCCGGCTCCCCGCCTGGGCTGTGTGAGGTCACTCAGCCGCTGGCCGGCCTCCAGGCGGCGGATGTGACCTCGACCACGCTGTCCTCCCCGCCCCCCCTGAGGGAGAAACGGTGGTTCACAGGTGGGGCCGAGCACAGGCCTGCTGCTCATTCCTGTGAATGTCGGAACTAACAAGATCACGTTAGATTGTTATGGAAAAGCTCTGCCTCCGTGTATTCTTCCCTGAAGTGAAGGCATGTTGGTAAATAAGGAGAGCAGGCTGTGCTCTGTGTAGAACATTTAAAACGGAGCAGCCCAGGACGGGCAGAGAAACAGCACTGCACCGCTGTGCGCGTCTGCTGAGGTCACCTGGACATGCAGGCCTTTGCTTTCTGCCTTTTTAATATTTAACATTCTAGGGGAACACAAACTTCCATTGGTATTTTTTTCCTCAGAAGTAATCAGAACTGGACAGAAACAGATTCACTGCCACCCCTTCCCACGCTCTCTGGGATGCCGTCCGCAGCCGTGCGGACAGCGTGGTGGGAGCCGCTGTTCCCACTGAGCGCCTCTTTCCACCGCAGCCTCGGGGGTCTCGGACAGACCCCCTTACTCCCCCTTACACCTGGGGGGTGTAAGGGGGTCTGTCCCCTCCCACAGGCGATCAGGTGCCTCACACCCTGCTGGGTGAGGGGCTCAGCTTAGAAATGCCTGCAGGAGTCCAGGAAGGCCACTCTGAGCCAGGAGCTGAGGTGCGGCAGACACCAGGGCGGCCACGCCTGGCGGGGGAGGCACAGGGTGGACCCCGAGTTCCCTGGGAGCTGCCTCTGTTCTGCTGTTTCCCTCAAACCCTCCGTTGAGCCTGCCCTGCCAGGGCCTCCTCGCGAGCTGGGCTCACTGCGCCCGCCGGCAGTTTGCCAGCGAGTGCTCGGCGGTCGGCGGGGGCAGGAAGGGGTCGCTCCAGCGCTGCTTGGCCTCCGGCTCCGTTTACCGCAGGTGCGTGCGGAGCGGCATGGCGGACACTGACAGTTACACCTGTAACCGTAATGAGGAGGAGCTGCCGCAGACTCCTGTGTGTGAATGAGTCAGAGCAGATGGCAAATATATTTTTAGTGAAAACACCAGTTCATGTACAGCGTGTATCATCGATCAGTGGGCTGTACTTGTTTTCTAATAAAATTGTCAAAACCTGGCACTGAGGGCTCTCGTGGCAGTGTCTGTGCGCCCCCTCCGCTCACACCACATGCCCGGCCCAACGGAGGGCGAGGGCACCCTCCCCGGAGGGTCAGGGCCCGGAGCCCGCAGTGAGCGCCCCCACCAGGGCCTCGGTGCTCCCTCTGCTGCTCCTGAGAGGGGTGCAATGTATGGTGTGATTACTAACCTGTGCCGCCCAGCAAGGCGGGAGTGTGGACAGACTGGCACTTTCACAAAAGGTCTCTTGTTTTCCTCTTTGACCAGGAGGCAAACACAACGGGCACACGTGGTGTCACTGCAGCTCCAACGAGCAGACCTGGTGACAGCTCTTCCCTTCCAGCACCGGCAGGGCCTTTCTTCCGCTCAGAGCTGGTCCACCAAGGGCTAGTCAGCTAGAGTGGGTGGGGTCACCCTCAGCCCTGCCTCCCTCAGCCCTGCCTCCCTCAGCCCTGCCTCCCTCAGCCCTCCCTCCCTCAGCCCTGCCTCCCTCAGCCCTGCCTCCAGGTCCACATGGTGTGAGCCCTGCCTCCCTCAGTCCTGCCTCCCTCAGCCCTGCCTCCCTCAGCCCTCCCTCCCTCAGCCCTGCCTCCCTCAGCCCTCCCTCCCTCAGCCCTGCCTCCCTCAGCCTTGCCTCCCTCAGCCCTCCCTCCCTCAGCCCTCCCTCCCTCAGCCCTGCCTCCCTCAGCCCTGCCTCCCTCAGCCCTCCCTCCCTCAGCCCTGCCTCCCTCAGCCCTCCCTCCCTCAGCCCTGCCTCCACGTCCACATGGTGTGAGCCCTCCCTCCCTCAGCCCTCCCTCCCTCAGCCCTGCCTCCACGTCCACATGGTGTGAGCCCTCCCTCCTTCAGCCCTCCCTCCCTCAGCCCTGCCTCCACGTCCACATGGTGTGAGCCCTCCCTCCCTCAGCCCTGCCTCCACTGTCCATATGGTATCAGCACTTGGTCCAACAATTTGAGCCCCCGTGTCCTCACCTATAAAGTGGACAAAACGCCTAATTCAGAGCATTGTGTGAGGGTTAAAGACAAGAAGTAGGTTATGACATACACAGTGCCTAGCAAACAGCAGGTCCTCAGAAAATGGCAGCTTTGCTACTGGCAGTTCTATGCATAAGCTTTGCTGTCTCCAGTCATAGCAGAAGAATGGGTAGAGAGATAGAACTGGGGTGACCACTGACGCCACGGGAGGAGGCCACGCCATTGTGAAGCCAAGGACGGGAGAAGACAGCACGATGCCCTGGTGAGGGCACTGGGAGCTCGGGTCCCGCGGCCCAGGAGGTGGTCACTGGCCACTGATGGCTGGGCTGGCGCTCGCACTGACCCTCTGCCAGCCCCAGCTCTAAAGGGTGTTTGATGGTCTAAATTAGGGGTGTCGAACTCAATCAGAGAAGGGGCCAAAATCTAAAATCCAGCCTAAATCGCGGGCCGAATGGTTTACTGAACAGTCATAAACTGTCATTGTGATGGAAACGCAGCGGAGTGCAGTGATGACAGCGCGGTGCGGGCCACATTGCAAGGCCTGGCGGGACGGATTTGGCCCGCGGGCCTTGTGTTTGACACATGTGGTAAATAGAAAAAAGATTGACACATTTCTAAGAGATTTTTTAATAAAAATGAATTTGTGCACTGGGCCTCTAGTAAGAACATAAAAATGTTAGAATCCGGTCTTCAGAAAGCTTGCCTATGCGCAGTTTCTCATAAAAGAATTCAGCAAGTTTTTCAGGATAGTATTTTGGTTGTTTTACAAACCAATGTATCAACAAACAGGAAAGTCAATACAGCCATCTGAAAGTCTTACTTTTGTTGTGAGGCTCTTTATTCCTCTTTTTATCAGATAACTGTTCCTTACAATAGCTTTCATGTTCTTGTTGTCTTTAGAATAACTTCTCCAACTGGTGGGAGGAGACCTGAGTGTAATAAATTCTTGCACTGTCACAGTTTTGAAACTGGAGCAAAGCACTTGGTTATTTTGAATTTCAGTTTTCTAATCTGTAAAATGGGACTTCTAGTGTTTCAAGGTTTTATATGTGTCAAAGCCCCTGAACAGTAACTTAGGTGGAATCTCAAGACAAAATATATTTTCTTAAGTTTAGCTCTTAGTCAGTACAGACAAAAGAAATTTTTATTTATCCAAAATGTGTCTTTTTTCAAATTCTAAGGTTTGGGATGTGGAGGGAGAGCAGGTTGTATAATCTTGGTGTTAACTTTTTAAAATGTTGGTAGCTTTTACTTAATACAATTTTAGTGAGTTAATCCTGTTTTGGTATTTTGACATAATGGGCTCCCCAAATGTTAATTGAAGTATAATCATTATCTTATATAAATAATAGAGAAGTAATATGCAAATTAACCCTCACAATGCTGTCATAAGATGGTGCCACCCACAGTGGGGGTGGGGCTGGCGGCTGACTTCTGCCACGGTTTCCATGGTCCCATGTGCACACTGTGGGTGTGGGCCTGGTGGCCCTGAGCACAGCCCAGAGGTGGGGCATCAGGGTGGCACTCCAGGACTTGGGACCATCCCATGGTGCACCAGCCACGCAGGGTGGGATTCTGGGACTCAGGGCAGTCCCATGGTGCTCAGGAGGGGCGATGGGTCTTGGATCTCACGTGATTTTGTGTAAAGGGTCACTAGTCTTACCTAATAATAGACAAACATGTAAATTGACCATACCTTTACTATGCTTATAGCCAATCAGAGTGACTATGCAAATTAACCCCCAAAAAGATGTCGGTTAATTTGCATACATAGACGACCAGGGCCTGTGTCCCAGGTACATCCTGGCACCCAGGTCACTGTGAGGTAAGGCCTGGGCACAGGGAGCTGGAGCTCCTCTCCTGCCCAAGAGGCTTTAGGCCTGGGCAGGGCCCAGCCCACAATTGGTGTGAACTACAGAGGAAACACCTTTACTGACTGCACATTGGCTAAGCTCCCTGTATGCCACTGGTAATATTCTTAGTAACTTGGGTATTAAGAATCCAGAAAGGTGATCTAGGGTTTTTCCACCACACTTCTGGAGAAAAAAACAAAGGTCTGCTGCTGGAGGGCTAAGGAATGTCATATCCTGCCCCAGCCGGTTTGACTCAGTGGATAGAGCCCCAGCCTGCCCACTGCAGGGTCTGGGTTGGATTCTGATTAAGGGCTTGTTCCGAGGTTGCAGGCTCCTCCCTGGTTGGGGCCCAGGTCAGGGCTCATGCAGGAGGCAACCAATCAAAATGTTCCTCTCACTTTGATGTTGCTCTCTGTCTTTCCCTTTCTCTTCCACATTCTCTAAAAGTCAATGGAAATATATCTTCAGGTGAGGATAAAAACAAAAATAAAGAAATGTCATATCCTATGAAAGACACATCTTGAAAACGCCTAAAGAAAGTTGTCATTTTTTCTTGGTGAAGGGACTGGAGTCCATGTTGATGAAAACACCTTGGTGTCTGTGGTGACTGGCAGTGGCTGCAGCACAGGGTGATGGGCCTGGTGCCTTCCCCTGATCAGCCCGGTTGCCTCCCACAAAGGGAGGCCAGACAGGGAGTGGGCCTAAGCTGTCAGCAGGACATCCCCTAAGGGCTCCCAGTATGTGAGAGGGGGCAGGTTGGGCTGAGGGACCCTCCACCCCAAATGTTAATTGAAGTATAATCATTATTATACAGTGAATTTCATGCACTGGGTCCCTAGTCCTATATAATAAAAGTCTAATATGCAAATTGTCCCCTTGGGAGTTTGACCCATGGGAGTTCGACTGCTCGCTATGACATGTACTGACCACCAGGGGGACAGCTTGAAACAAAGGAAGGCCCCAGTTGGCAGCCAGAAGGCCCCAATCATCCCTGATTGCTGGCCAGGCTTAGGGACCCTATCCATGCATGAATTTCATGCACTGGGCCCCTACTACAATTATAAAATCAGAGATTTCTTCAAGCTAATTTGTCAGAAGAAAATCTTTTCCCTTTGGGGTCAAGAATCTGTGCATGTGGCGATTGGCGATGTGGAGCCCACAGAGGGAGTGGCCATTGGGGCAGAGAACAATCTGGGCCTTTGAGAAGTTCAGGGTAGTCAGGGTCATGTACCTATGACATGAGGCCATAATGTATCAAAAGAGATTTTATTCTGGGCACCTGGGTGCAGGTGGGCTGAGACAGAGAAAGGCATCAGAGAAGAGAGCAGGGGGAGAGAGGTTTTTATTCATCCTTGCTGGCTGCAAGCCACTCTGCTGACAAGGGGTCTGGTCGGCCTTGGTTCCTTCCATGCGGGGTGTCTCCTGCTTACCTGAACTATGCTGTGCTCAAGGCTTTCTGCAGGATTGCTGCTAAGCACAGTAAGTCTTTCTCTGCCCTGTTTTATTCTCTTTAACCCTTTCAGCCTTGAAGGGGAAAGTTGTTTCTTTTTATTAAAAATGCACAGATGAATCATGAGAGTAAAAGGCAGTTGTAATTTATAAAAAAAGCTATGCCTGGAGAAATGAGCATGGGCACCCAGGTGGAAGGAACTATTTTTTTTTTTGTAATAACATATATTTACAACCAAAATATGAAGGTGTGTGTGTGAAAGAGAGGGGTCGGGGAGGGAGAGAGATTTAGGGAGAACAAGAGTTACAGGAAGCGTATGACACTATTTAGAATGGTTATTAACCTTTGACACTGAAGACGTGCCCATCTCAACTCACGTGCTCCAGTTTCTCCCAGGGATGGCATGCATGATTAGCGTGCCTCAGTCCTGGGCATTCCCTGGGCTCGAGCCCAGCGCTGAGGAGAGTCCCGAGGGTGCAGCAGCTCCTGGACCTGGGACAGACTTGAAGGACCTGCTGCTCCTCACACCTGCCCCGCTGCTTCCAGATTTCTTCCCCCACAGAGCCTGTCTTCCTTGGAACACTTGGCCGGAGGTGACCCAGGGGCATGGCACGTGGCAGTGAGTGGAGGTGCTTGGCTGGGAGAACATCAGGAATAACGTCCAGGGAAGATGCACTGCTTGCAGGGTAAGCAGGAAGGAGTGAAAGGTAAGGGAGAGGCTCTT